AAGAAAAAAGGGATAGAATGTAGACCAAAAGACTTGAACGACACAAGATAGGCCTTACACAGCACATCGTTCACACAGACTCAGCTGGAGAACACCTTTAACGGCTCATTTGTTTTAACTTGGTTAATATATTTAATAAAAGGAGGTAAGCAAAACCTGCAGAATTAAATATCAGCACTCTCTAAAATGGCAAAGAATGCCTTAAGCTTGAATTTAGCCTCCAGGCACTGATCTCCCATTAAGGCATTTCCACCTCCCTCACAACTAGTGGCAGGAAAAATGTTCCAACAGCAGTCCATACACCACATCAGGAACAACTTGCCACCAGCAGCCCTTGTGGGAAACTTCAGTGCCATTTAACTCACTTTTTTGTCAAGATTGCTATAAAATGTAAACATTTACACGGTGATACCGCTTCCCCTTTTAAATCCTGAACAACGTATCTAGGATAAAAGACCAGGAGGTAAATTCTCTAAGGAAGGGTTGAACTGCAAGAATGCTGTCAGAGATCAAGATTTGTCCTTTCAGTGACATCCCTCTGTCAGATAATCTTCACAGTGGGACCAAGAAAGCAGTAAGTCATCTGTAGGAAAGGATGACTCATTTTACTCATACAAAATTCAGACTATTTTAAGTATGCTGTGAGAACACAGGCCACAAGGGGAGGTTTTCATGTGCTGCTCAGAGGAAGAACAGTCTCAGAGTTCCGCCTGGGGAATAATCCTAACCCCACGCACAGAGGAAGCTCCCAGTCGGCTTGCATTGCCCTGGAGAGGAGGGGGAAGACTGAATTGAAACCGTTCACCACAACTCTCCATAAAAATATATCCTCGATGTACGTACTGTCAGTGTAAACACAATGCTAATTACCAGCAGCTTACCGAACTTTTATCCTCTGCATGAAGATCTGCGCTGCAGGAAGGAGAGAGGCATTCCAAGCCACATCTTTTAGTTGAGCTGGAGGTAAGCGAGAGATTTCTTTGTAGCAAACTCATCAATTTACTTTCTGCATCAGAGCAGAAGGAGGCCACGTTCTAGGAAGGAGAACAGATTAACAGTGCAGAGTAGTTATTTTTCAAATTAAGTACTATCTGCTCACAAACAAAGTAGTTTGGACTTTGTTTTCTCATCATAACCTCACTAAAAGTTTATTTTACATCAAACCAACCATTTAGAGTGCTGGACTTTCTGCAGAGGGAAACATCATACCTTCCTTTTGTGCAAACAAGAAACGAAACCCTTTTGTATTTAAACTTATTTTTCAGTAACAAGTAAGAATGCTCCACCAAGACACGCTATTTAGCACAGCTAGAAAATGGAAATAATAAATGAAAACAGCAGTCCAATACTGAACATGTTCAACTGCGCAAGACCATAAATTTCAACTTTTAAAGGCTAGAGCCCAGCTGTCCATGACAGGTTCCCTGTTGACAGGTCCTGTATTTCTGTGCTAGCCAGAGAAGATTCTGTGGCACATCCTACCGACAGCATTGGTTGAACTGAATTTAAACAAACAAACAGGACACTCAGTAGGCGATACAGACTCTTCCAGGACAAGTGCATTAACACCTTACTCCACCTCCCAGAAAATCTTCTCAAATTCAACAGCATGTGCATTGCTGATATTTAAAGATTTATTTGTACCAACAGACTTTTTGGTGAAGAATCTAACAAAGCAATAACTGAAATTAATCACTAAACTAAAAATCTACAGGTTTACCTCTATCGCACTTCTCAGCTCGTTAACCTTCTCCTGAAGGTAGCTTTCCTTTGGACTGGCTGAGAAGACAGAGAGGTCTCCAGCCAACAGGACAGGAATTTCAGACCTGAATTCAGATTGCCACTGGAGGTTGCTTGCAGAAATGAACGAGCAGCGGACAACTATATCTTCAATAGCAAAATGTCTAAGATCTGTCCAGATCTTTACTGCCACCAAATGATAGCTTTCGTCCGATAAGTACACCAGAGTACTGAAACCTAAAAGCAAGGAAAAGTCATAATTAAACCTTCAACCTTTAAGTAAAGGTTGATTTCAGAAATTTTTATCTATAAAAAAAGCCATCTTGAAAGAAAACTGATAAATATAACAGCAGCCTATCTGCAGGGTAACAGATGCATGATGCTTCATTCATATTCTACATTATCTCCCTACAACTCAAAGTCTGCGTTCCAGTGATTTTAAAAAAAAAAAAAGTACTCCTGCTATGGTGCTTTTCACCTTCTGTTTGGCAGATTATCCAGCTGTTCCTACCCATTAGCTCCAGTGCCTGGGTTCTGCTCATTCCACGACACTAGGTAAGAGGGAGCTCACATACATGCACGATGCTACTTCAGCAGATACTGACCACAGCTGTGAGAACTTACATCCACCATTTATGGAAATGACTAAGTAAAACTTCTCGTGAGCTTTGATCCTCTGTTGCTACATTCTTCCTGAGCTAATAAGCAAAGACAGTTTTTCTTAGGAAAACAGAGCTATCTGCCAGCATACCACAGTGATGGGCTGTATTAGGCGGCTCTCCTAGGCCTGAGATACAGGTGCAACACCAACTTTGACTTTT